TGTTCATTCCTTTAATCAATTAACTAAACAATGTTGAAGTTTAGAGCCAATTTTGCTGCATCGGCTTTGCGGAGGTGAAGGTTGTGTCATAAATGTCTCAACTCGTCGTCCACACCCGTCCGCGACCGAATATCGAGGAGCCCCGTTGGAGCCAGGACACGTACTGGGGTCGAGCAAAGCATTTTGCCACTATAACCAATCCTCTGAACATCTTCTGTTCTTCCCAGGAGCTCGAGCATGCAAAGCAAGTCGTCCAGATGTATCGGTAACAATCAACAGTCATTATCAGCTGTACTCACGAGTTCTCTATTGTTTTGATTGCCGTGTATTCTTAGGAAAGGACAGATCGACCCTAATATGACCGTCGACGAACTGTGGCGCGCCAAGAACGTCTACGATTCAGCGTTTCATCCGGACACACGTCAGAAGATGACGCTTATCGGTCGCATGTCCGCTCAGGTGCCAATGAACATGACGATCACCGGCTTCATGATGACATTTTATAAGTAAGAATTTCCTTCAGCTATAATTTTCCTTTATCTAGCTTCATAATAGTTCGTCTCCTGCGTTTGTTGGCGTTGAGGCTACAATTCTAGATTAAGGAACAACTGTCATAAGACTGAGGCCATTGGAGTTAACTGGACAAAATAACAGTAGCTTAGTCTTCTATCTTCTATCCGAGTTGTCTTCCTCAGCCGCCATGCTAAAGATATTTTGTCACTCTTCTCGGTGTACTACCCTATGCTTCCACCGTTCACAAAATAGCTTCGTCATTGGATCGTCACAGCATATTGTTGGACGTCGGACGTACATGTGTTGCCAATTGAGATCCAGATATTTACTTTGGATATCCAGCTGTTGTCCTTCAGACGAGTCGTATCGCCGACCCATCATTTCTTCTACGTGAATAGTTTTAGAAATCGTATCCGACGCGGAATTATCACACTTGGAACATGACTCCGAAGGAATTACTTGCATGCACTTCTCCCCATCGCCTTTTCCATATTACTTTCTTTCCTTCAGCCTTGTTGATAGCACAGCACTTCTCACCTTGTAGGACATCGGAATCGAACGGCGGCGGGGCTCTTTCTTCGATAACATGAACGGTTCGTTATTTAGCAGCGCTACTTTGATATAATTGAAACTCGCCGATGCCGACATTTTTCTTCCGCTGGTCCTGCTGTTGGTGTTGCTATTTGAGTCTATTAGGTGGCTGAGGTATACGTGTGGCTAGCGAGTTTTTCCACTTCTTCGTTGTCAGTGAAGGAGGTACTCACGAGGCATTGCTCGTTGTGTGTCCATTTCATCTTGACGATGTTCATCTTCAGAAAGATTGCGCATGACTCATTCGGCAGCTGCGCATTTTTTTGTGTGTGTAATTTCGCCGGGTCTTTGCTGAAGATGCTGTCTCTGCAAAGAGCAGATAGATGAACGGTTATCCGTCGAAATTAATGCTTTGGACCCAGTTCACATTGATTTCAGCATCGTTGAGAAAAACTTAGGATAGATCGTGCTTCCTTGGCATACTCTTCTTTTGATGATGATTCCACATGGCTGCGAAAACAGCTTGAATGCGATACCAATTCAATTCTTCGATCAGATCGACACAGACACGGTTGATACCGTACTCCTGCCAGGCATTCAGCTCCATGGAATCGAACCATTTTATCAAATCACTGAATGCGTACCAGCCTACGACCTAGTACTCCTTGCGCTTCTCTGTTACCTACATAAAGTTGTGGATGTGCTGTACGTTGGAGAACCTTATTTGGAGACCGGCTTGTTTGCTGGTCAGCTGTTCCAGGTCTCCCTGGATGTGGTTGAGCATGATTAGGTAAAGACCTTGTAAACTTGTGACAAGAGGGTGAGGGTCGATAGGTCTGGAAGTCTTTTGCATAACCTTTTTCAATAGAAGAATCATGAAGAGCTCTTTCGCGCTTTAGTGTTTTCTTGAGTTAGATATAAGATGCCAGTCGTTCGGCAAAGGTTTTGAACAGGGCTGTTCGGCCTAGTATGAGACATTCCGGAAGGATTCTGCTGGGACATCTATTCTAGGACATGCTATGTGCCACTCTTGATATTCCTGAGTGTGCGCTCTACTTCGTCGTAACTGACATTCGGAACGGTTTCCGTGGCAATACGTTGCAGCTTTTGATCTACTTTTACCTTCTAGGAGTAGGAGTTGCTGTAGGCCCTCATGTATATCGCTTTCATTCGGCAGTAATCTGCTGTTCTTGTTTTTTCTTTGTCCTTTAGTGCTACCGGAATTCGTTTTTTTAAGAGGATGCATTTTTCCGCTGCCTTCCAGCTGTTCTTCTTGAATTCGATTTCTCTTAGCTTCACTCTCCTCTACTCATCATAGTCCTCCCAAATATTCTTCCGTATTTCGTGGCATTCTCAGTCTACTCGGCATTCATTTGCCTATCAGCCTTCACTCTGTCTCTTCTGGCCAGATTTGCCTCATTTCACAACTGCTTCATTGTTTCTTCTTCGTCATTGCTGCCAGTCTGGGTGATCGGATCATAGAGGGTTGATGGTATTGATGAGGTACTGGCAGTTTGGATCGATGCCTCTTTCGATGTCTCTTGCGAGGTTAAGCCGAAGAAGCTTGTCTGTGAGGCCTTCCGGGTCGAATAATTGCCCAATCGCCGCTTACATCGACTGTTAGTGTATATCGGAGTAATTCTTAGTCTGACCGCGTGCAAGACGATGTTTTTTCAAATGACATATACGCATTACCTTCCGTGTTTAGTCCGTTACCACATGGACAGTTTCGTGAAAAGTCGTTTCATCACTGCTTTTTCATGTATACTGGTGCTTCTCTGCTTTTTCAGACATGGTATTTATGGTGTGGAGATGGTTACTTTTGGCAAACGCTACGAGAGGGAGTTGAGTTCGTTTTTACCGAATTGGCCAGTGAAACGGAAGGGTTCCTTCTGTTGTTTCTCTTCCTATTGGCCTTGAAATCTCCCTAGCGATTCTCTGCGTAGGTTTCCAGTTCCTCGTACGATTGCTCCACTTGTTCAATCACCCGTTTGCTGTGTTTGGCGTAATTTTCGATGATCTTTGGTCTTGTTCACTCACAGAATCTGTACGCTGACTCGTACATGAGGTCGCAGCTGATTAGGACCGCTACAGCTCTCATCTTTACGGTGAGTTCTACACTGCGTATCTGAGCCCGGTTTTTGTACGCCCCAATGCAACGCCAGTTCTTTCAGAGGTGTTTTTATATTGTATTCCCTGCGCGATGGAAGCTATTATTTCCAGAGGTCGTAACGCCTTTTCTCTTCCGTGAGTTTCTTGTATTGCATCTACGTGAATTCTCATCTCATTCAGTTCCTTTGCAGCCATGCAGTTTGCAATGATCTGTTTAACTTTCGCCATTTCCGCGTAAAAAATTGTCAGACATTTACCATTGATTGGTAGTTTCCTCTGTTCTGTAGTTTTCGAGATTTACAGTCATAGCTAGTAAGATTTCCGGACCTGTTACTAACAACATCAGGTCCATAGGATAAATTATGTATGGTTTCTTTGATCAGAGATAAATCCTCTGAGTTAGTGATCGCCTCAAACAGCTTCACCAAAACTTCACACTCGTACTTTCACAGTTCATGACGCACCTTCACGGCAGCAGTAGCGGCTAGGACGAATGCTCTCACTGTAAATCGTCCTGTGAAGTATTCCTTTACGTTAGACGTCATCCGGTCTTCACGACTCGTAGCGGAGGTTGTACGTTAGGTAAGACGACCATCTATTGAAATAATAACCTTTTTTGATTATTGTGCTGTTTTGCAAAAAAATTGACTGGATGATGAAGTAATAATTTAGTTTTCTTAGTGTCTGCGTAGAGCTATACTATACTTTTTAAGAACGACACCGGCCGTCGTGTTTTGGCAATGGATCAATCAGTCATTTAACGCAGTGGTCAATTACACGAATCGCAGCGGCGAAAATCCTATTCCTATGAAGTAGTTTCTTTTTAATGATTTCATATCCGAATTTGCATCTGTTGCTATTCTAGTCAATTAATGTATTCATACGTAGGTGCTACTGGTGGGGCGCTGGTGACCGCCTTAGGCTTGAACAGTTTTGTGACGGTAAGTAGGCTTTGTGTGTGAACTGTTTTCTTTAAAGCAACGACTATTGAATATTTTACTGTTAGTTTCTTTTTTTCGTTATGTGTATTGTGTTTAACTTGATAGACTACAGATCGCCACGTAGGAAGTATGCCTTCTTCTTTTGTTCATGGGGCATCTACATTCTCATTTAAATCAACGAGTGACTGAATGGGCGTCGCTCACACATGAATCCTCTAATAGTGTGATGACGTGGGCCATGACAAAGGACACGATCTCTTTGTGCTACCATTGAGGAACAGTTCATTAATTAGCGCTATGTCAGAAGCTTTTGTTGCTCAGATTCTAACAACTGCTGATAACGGCATTGATAGCGTGAGACACATCGTCTTGAACGAGCTTTTGAAGCATACGAACCGAAATTTCTGCGATGATATATCTGTAAATTGAATTGCGTATCATAAAGCCAGGTTACGCTATATGTCTGAGGAATGATTTATTACCTTGGAAGGTATTCTTTTAATGTTTAGCTATGCGGTAGTTTGTTCCGGCCTTGATTTGCATAACGTACTGCAGCAAATTTCTCAGAGTAACTAACCGCTGTTGAAACTTAAGATATCGTTTTATTTCAACGTCCATTACGTGAACTGCTTCTTGGCGTTCAGTAGCACAGTAATACCAATAAAAGTCAACCTGTTTCGTTGATGTATGATTTTTGAGCAGTTTGTCGATCTCTTTCTTTGAGTATTCTGATCGAAAATGACCACAACTGTAATTAATTTTATTAGTCACGACCTCCATTATATTTATTAGACTTATGGCTAACGGATCCTGTTTTGATGGCAAATAGTTTTGCATACGCCTTTCTGTTTATTAATCCCTTTTTGTGACTTTATGCCGATAAAAATTTAGAAATTTCCGCCGCTGATTGGTCGGTTTGTTCCTTGGTGTGCCGTTGCGGCTGCTAATTGCGTAAACATTCCACTAATGCGTATAAGGTAGGTTTGGGTAAGGCTGACTTGCTTACCTCAGCGCCCTTAGGGAGTTGAAAAGTGGCGTGTCCGTGTACGACGAAAATGGCAACAAACTTGGTGAGTCTCGGATAGCTGCCCGTTACGCGATATCCATGGTCACCTTTAGTCGAATCGTAATGGCCACTCCAGGAATGAGTACTGACTGAACTGTTTTAGTTGTCTCTGCTTTGAACCGTCAATGTTCACATTTATTCTGTTTTCAGTTTTTCCTCCTTTGTTGATGAACTGGTTGGATCACAAAGTCTGGTATAAGGTATCGGACACAGCTAACTGTCCTTGGCCCAAATACTGTAATTTGCTATACTTTGTTTCAGCCGTACACTTACATGAGCGCTCCGATCCAAACCTTGGCTGTAGGCTTCTTTTTGGTCTTCGCTACTCCCATGTGTTGTGCCCTCTTTCCGCAGAAAGTGTACGTTTCATTTGTTTTAGTCATTGATGTTTTTTTACCAATCTTCGGTTTTTAGCTCCCTTTCGACGACGAAGCTTGAAGATAGCTTGCAAGCGAAAATTAATTCGTTGCCAAATCCGCCGAAATACGTGATTTTCAACAAGGGATTATAAAAGTAGCGAAACAGGTTCTTTTGGGTTTATAGATACTAGCGAACATTTAGTGCCATATGCATTATTGGTCTTGTGTTTTACCCCGGTGCTTGTTTGTTTTCCTTTTCTGGTCATACAATAACTGTTAGCTTCTGTAGTGTTGTTGTTTGTTGTACGTGTGCAACTTGACAGAAAACGGGGTTTTGTTGGTTTTATTTCTGTTTGCATTCGTGCGACGCATGTTTTTCTTTTTAATAGTTGATTATATGCATTTGCTCAATTTCAGAACATTTCGTTATGACTGTCGGTGTTTTGTACTAATCCTTATTTTTTTATGTTATCCATAATTAGGATTTGGTTTAATATCCGCCCATTTCAGCTTCAAAAATTTCTGCTTCCCTCTGCATAGAGAGTTTGCCATTGATATATCTGATTATACGTATGCCTGTGGATCGAGGTATATATAAGCTCTTATTGAAACACATTTTTGTTTCATTCAACAAGTGATGTTGTTTTGTATCCATGCACTGCAGATGCTACAATACCGTAGAAACAGCGGAATGCAAGGGTCAGATAGACCGTTAGAAGCAAAAAAATGCTGTTACGCTTATCGAATCAAGAAAGCGATATCGATGAAAAAGCTAATCAGTTTTCTAAAAATTAAGTATAACATGAAAGGTTTGAACATGAACCTCGAAGTTTAGTTGTGCATCTGTTCAGTCATATTAGCTTTTGCAGTCGGAAAATTATTACCGACAAATGTGTTGATACGCTCAAAAGAAACATCCCGGTGGGTAACAATGCTTTACTTTTACCAAGTCAAGATAATGCATAAAGATGCCAATACTCGTACAGCACACAAAAACATACATCTGGTGACCAGAATGTGGCAGCACCACTAGCAAAACAAACTGCTAAAACAAATGTCATTAAAGAAGTGCTCAGGCAATATCAAGCGCGAGAGGAAATGATCTCCCGGTGGTTCGATTGTCCTCGTGTAATGTCGCCAACAAACTTATTAAAGCAGTGACAGGCTGAAAGCTTGCTTTACGTTTCGACACGCTACAGCTGTTATGGATGCAGATAGCGTTTGCAACAGACATTAATCAACTGAATAAGATAATTTAGGCAAAGGTTGATGCGTCGTTAATGATCTATCCTCTGAAACAGCAATTACTTGTGTCGTGTATAATCAGCCAGTATTTGTACCATTTTAATATCAGCAATACTCAACCTTTACACAGTGCAAGGTGCAAAACGTAAGCTGCAGTAATAATAGCGAATCTGCAATGTTCTGATAAACAGAAGTTTCACTAATGACAGTACCGTAAAGAACGTCGAGCAACGCCAAAGAATCTGGTTTTAACTTCTCACCTCTAGCAGTCGATTTTATTCTGGTACGTTCTATCAGCCAGTGGAGAGATTCCTTTCGAAGAGACAAGTTTCTTGGGAATGGTGCAGCGAATCATAGGACCGGAGAACCATCGAAAAGCTTCAATTTGCACCACAAGGTGGTAAAACTGCAGCAGTTTCTTCGAGCTTTCGATACTACGTGACCAGATCTTTGCAAAGAGGATGTCTGGCACCAGCGAGGACATCACCAGGCTTTGGAGACTTGCTACGACCAAGTTGTTTTATAAGGGTCTATAAGTGATCCGCGAACATTGGCTAGAAACTTTATCAGTTGCCTTATACGGTGGTGATGGCGACCTCTGTGGTCATCGAAGTTGGTGAGGGTAAAACAGCATTACGTAACTTCGCTCGAAGAACTGTAGCATTTGTCGTTCTACTCGTAGACGTTTTACTATTTCTGAGAAAAGAAAGAACCTCTGTGAGTTTGACATCTATAGATAAAGTTTGCCAGTACCATTAGAAACACTTTATGATCATCCCAAATACTTTACTTCGTAGGTTTTTATTAAACTAGTAACTTTTCTAAAGGTGCCCCATTGATAGTTCAACAAATCATGAGGTGCAAGTCTCCTCCTTATCGATTAACACGTGGCATCGATTGACTTTTCAGCGTTTGCTATTAGTCCCGCGTTGGTGGGTCACAAAATGGTTTGGCGTACTCATGCGGTAAATATGGTCTTGTCCACAGGGTTAGATACGCTAGAAACAATGACAGTGTCATCTGCCTTTAACGCCTGACTTGAAGTGGCATCCACCAACATAGGAGACGAACGGTCGGCAATAGCACAAACCTATACTGCAATGCCTATTTCTCTGCCTTTCAAGGTTCCAACCAATGATGGTACACTGAATGAATGAATAATTTACTTATTGAATGGAGTAGTGGAAGAATCATTTTTTAGCAAAAAACAATGAATCATGAATATCACAAGAAACATAACAGAATCGCACTCGAGCACTGACCTAACGAAAAAACATCTGATAATATGGAGAAAAATTAATGGAGGCAAACAGGAAGAAGACAGTTTCACACTGAGCAAATTTAAGTACTGTTGCCTTACGTTTATAGGACTTATAGGTAGAAAGCGCGCTGAAGCAGGGATTATAAATCTATGCAGTTCTAGTACGGTAATACACGTTTAAATATACAGAAGCTCCTAGACTTACGATTAAGTTACGTTCCGACGAATTCATCGTAAGTCGAATAATATGAATATGATACATGAGTAAATGACTGCTGCCATTTAATAAGTTAATAAACGAATAATTTCTGTAGCTAACTAAATGCCACTAATTAAAAGTTAACAATAGTTGCTAAAAAATGATGCTAGGGAGGATACTATAACTATAACATTGCTAAATTAACCACGTACTTCAGTTCGTGTGAAAGGTTGCCTATTCTAGAGAACTGTCACTGATCGCCTCTGCATCACAAGGTCGCATGTCAGTAGGCATGCAAACATGGCTGCTGACGCATGTACATCTGGAAAGATATACGCAGACAAATTTTCTAATAATATTGTGATGCATAATGACTTCTCATACGCTTCACAAAATCGAAGCCCTACTAGACCTAGTTGCATGAGACTGGGTGCATACCAAGCGAGATCAGATGACAAAATGACAGAAGTATTAGACAGTTGGACATGAGGTGATTAGACCAAAAGAGTTGAATTCTTCGTATTTCGCATCATGCAAATCCATCCTGTGGTACTGATAACGGTTCTTTAGATATGTGAAAAGGAGACAAAAAAGGTGAAGATGGCGCGTTTTAATGTCAGGCATAAATTATTAACCGTCGTGAGGAGTGAGGAATGGTGCTAAGCGCTGGTATCAATAGACACTATCGTAAGGGATCATGCCGAAGGCCGCGCGGTAGTCAAGAAATGCCTACATGGATAATTTCATCAAAGGCAGGTGCATATCCAGAACGGAGACGGGTGATACAACAAAATCTCGCTTAAACAGCAATGCCCATGTCATACAATTCGTACACCGCATGTTTTAACGAGTAAATAATCGCGTTTCATGTCGTGAGTTAGTGCCAACATCACGTCATACAAGTATGAAACGAAAACAAACATAGAAAGATTGAAATGTCGTTCGGCTCGTTTGTTCATCAGCGAATGCTGTCACGAAATATTAACCTCGACAGACATTTTTCCAACATTTACTGGATCACGCTAACTAAAAGTAGAAGGTATGAAAAAATCAACGAGATCACGGAGCAAAACAAACAAAAAACAGACGCATTCTGAGATGATGGAAGGACTGCACCGAAGCAGGTAGCGCAATGAATCGTCGTTCAGTTTAGCATCTAAACCTACGTCTTAGTTTCTTCGCTTGTGGAAATGGGGGTTTCCGGATCTTCGGTATAACCGAAAAGAGCGTAGACGGTGGCAGCGAAGGCGTCAAGGCCGGCGATGAAACAGAAGACGATGCGCCACTCAGAGGCGATGCGATGAACAACGATCGACGAAACAAGCACTGGCAGGAGGATCCCGCTGACCATGGCGGTGAACGTACACACAGCCGAGATGACCCCGGTCCACTTCTTGTTCATGCTGACGACGCTGGTCAGGTAGCCGGGTGTCGAGGCGGAGTGCAGAGCGAGGCCGAAAGTCAGCACACCGATGATCGCCTGCTTCGGCAATGTGGTTGTGAGCCCGATGACCAGGATGCAAGCACCGCTGCCGAGGAACGACACGCAGTTGAAAAGCTTGGATGAAATGTTGCGAGTGATGAGGTCGTGACGAACGATTAGATCTGACAAGCAACTGAAGAATATCTTGCCGACGATGAGCATGACGAACGGCAACGACGTATAGACGGCATTGTCCAGCAACGACAGCTTCAAAACGTCACTGTAGTAGCTGGGAATGTAGAAAGTGAACAGACGAATGGTACATGTAGCTGACATGCTGCACGGCAGGAGAGCCCAGAATGCCGGACGGCGAATCAGTTCATGGAAAACTGACCGGCAGACGTACGACCACTTGACTCGCTGTTCGACATGGTTCAACAGATGGTTGTCCTCGCCGTTAGTTCTACTGGGTCTCAATCGCAGTAGATAGAC